GGGAGGGACTTACCCAGGCTAGTCAGCTGCAAGGACTGGCTGTGACCACTGACCACCAACTTCTGCCCTCCCTGAAGGACCAGCTGTGCAGGGGCAGGGTGGTGGTGCTCCGACATGGTCTGCAGCTGTCCAGTGGATGGGCTGGCCCTGAGATTTCCCAGGTGGTGCAGGCCAAGGTCAGCCCCAACCTGTGTTTTGTTCTGGACCACCCTACCTGAGGTATAAAGCAATCTTAGGTGGTTGTCACTTGTGCTGGGCTTGGAGATTCTCAGGCAAAGCCAAGCTGTGCATCTAGGCTGGCTGCTGCTAGTGCCAGGCCTGGGGCCACTTAGAAAGAGGTACAGGGACTGGGGACTCACTGAGGCTAGTTGTTGCTTGTCTGAGAGGATTTAGGAAGTTGTGCAATATGAGCCAAGACCAGCCATTCATATGGAAAAGCCACTGTTAACAGCTTGGGTGGGCCTGTCAGTTGGGGGGTAAGATCCTCAGGGGATTTTAGGGCCAGCCAGTGTTATTTAGCTAGGTTGATAGAGTCTCAGATATGGCACCCACCTGCCTGCTCTGTGGCTCTGTGAGGAGAGGGTTCAGAAAAGGGACAATGGCCTCTGCCCACCTTTCTGTCCGGGAGAAAGCTGTCCCCCAGCTCTTGCCTTGATGCCAGACACTTCAGTTCCTCACTCCATACCACTGCTACCTTTCAGTTTGTTTGTCTTTCAAGTTGCTACCCTGATGCCAGAGCTCAGACGGAGTGAGTCTGAGTAAGTCCCTGTGTGGGATCTTTAACAGGAAACGCTTGGGACTCCAGAAGTTTATTTTCCTCACTCAGTCCCTGCTGATTTTTGCAGCCAGAGTTATGGGGACTTGTCTTTCTGGCACTGGAAGCCCGGGCTGAGGGGCCTGGTGTGGGGCGGGGCCTCCTCACTCTCAAGATAATCCTTCCAAATTTTTATTCATTATGAACTTTTATCCATCCCTTGTGGATATCAGACTAGCCCATTCCATGTGTCTGCTCCTCCTATGAGTCTGGAAGGATGTGGTATCTTTAATTCTGTAGTTGTCAGATATCCATTCAGCTCAATTTTTGATGGTTCTGAATGATGGTTGCTCAATAGTTTAGCTGTAATTTTGATGTGGTTGTGCAAGAATACAAACTGTTTCCCTATGCCGCCATCTTCACTTTTGTACAATTTTAATACACTAGCTTCTTAGATCATAGTCCACAGTTCTTACTGGGATCCCCCAACTTCCTGAAGCGTTATTTTTAATTTTGCATATGTTAAAATTCACTCTTTCTGCTGTACAGTTTTCTGGGTTTTGACATATGCTGAGAGTCACGTATCCACAATTACAACATCATACAGAGTAGTTTCATTGCCCTAATCACCCCTGGGCTTCCTTAGTCAAACACTACTTCCCTCCTCAAAACCCTGGTAACCACCAGTCTGTTACTGCACAACATCAACGTAACCTGGCAGCCAAGGAGAGTGGACAGGAATGCGCATGTGTGAACAGTGATGACTTCACTCTTCAGTGGGAGTGGTAGACCCCATTGAGTGAGCATGTGTAGTGTATGGTGTTGCATTCAAAATGATTGAGTGAGTCAGGCAATGAATCTGCATCAGATTTTGCATTTTGCATGAAGCTTGAAAATTCCTCCATGGAAACTATTCGGATGATTCAGAAGGCTGCAGCTATGGGCAACTGGTGATTTGGAGATTCATTAGGACAATGTGCCTGCTTATACATCACATCTCATGCACAGTTTTTTGGCAAAACATCAAATCACCCGGGTGACTCAGCCCCCCTATAAGCTCTGATTTGGCACCCCGTGACTTCTGGCTTTTATTTTTTTCTTTTTTAAAATTCTTTTAAATTTATTTATCTCTAGAGGGGAAGGGAAGGAGAGAGGGAGAGAAATATCAATGTGTGGTTGCCTCTCGTGTGTCCCCTGCTGGGAACTGGCCTGCAACCCAGGCATGTGCCCTGACTGGGAATTGAACTGCGATCCTCTGGTTCGCAGGCCTGTGCTCAATCCACTGAGCTACACCAGCCAGGGGGATGACATGCCTTTTTTAAAACTGAAATCATCTTTGAAAGGGAATAGATTTCAGACCATTGATGAGATTCAGAAAACACGATGGGGCAGGTGATGGTGATTGGGAGAACTGTGTGAGGTCCCAGGGTGCCTACTTTGAAGGGGACTGAGGCATCATTGTCCTGTGTACAATGTTTCTTGTATCTTGTGTCTTCTTCAGTAAATGTCTCTATTTTTCATATTATATGGCTGGATACCTTCTGGACAGACCTCGTACACTATGTAGCCTTTTTCAGACTGGCTTCTTTCATTTAGCAATATATATTTAATATTAATTCATGTCTTTTCGCGGCTTCAAAGCTCTTTTCTCTTACTAATTGAATAATACATTATTGTCTGGATGTACCACAGTTTATTTATCCATTGACCTACAGAAGGACAGACGTCTCAGTTACTGCCACTTTTTGCTGCTTTTGAATAAAGCTGCGGTAAACATCCAGGTGCAGGTTTTATGTGGACATAAGTTTTCAACTCCTTTGGGAAAATACCAAGAAGCACAATAGTCAAATCATATATGTTTAGTTTTGTAAGAAACCACCAAACTGTCTTCCAAAGTGACTGCATTCCCATTATTTTGCATTCCCACTAGCAATAAATGAGGGTTCTACCCTGGCCTGGTTGCTTGGTTGCAGCATTGTCCCATACACCAGAATGGTTGTGGCTTTGATCCTGGGTCATGGCATGTATGGGAGGCAACTGATCGATGTTTCTCACATCCCTCTCTCTCAAATCAATGAACATACCCTCGGGTAAAGATTAAAAATAAAGTAAAACAAAATAAAAGAAATAAGGGTTTCTGTTGCTCCACATCCTTGCTAGCATTTGGTGTTATCAGTGTTGGGATTTTGGACATTCTCACAGGTATGTAGTGGTATCTTGTTTTTGTTGTTTTTTTTAAAAAAAAGATTTTAAATTTATTTTTAGAGAGAAGGAAGGGAGCGAAAAAGAGGGAGAGAAACATCAATGTTTCCAAAGTGGGAGAGGTACATCAATCAGTTGCCTCTTACCCACTGCCAACTAGGGACCTGGCCCACGACCCAGGCATGTGTCCTGAATGAGAATCAAACCAGTGACCTTTTGGTTCATAGGCCAGCACTCAGTCCACTAAGCCACACCAGCCAGGGCTGTAGTGGTATCTTGTTTTAATTTGCTATTCCCTAATGACAAATGACGTGGAGCATCTTTTCCTATGCTTATTTGCCCTTGTATTTTTCTTTGGTGACACGTCTGTTCAGCTCTTTTGCCCACTTTTTAAAGGTTATTTTATTCTTATATGAGAGAGTAAGGAAAGAGACAAACATCGATGCAAGAGCAACACCGATCCACTGCCTCCTCACACACCCCAACAGGGATGAAACCCCCAACTCGGGCACGCACCCTGACCTGTAATCAAACCTCGACCCTTTGGTTAAGGGACAACGCTCCAACCAGCTGAGTCAGGCTGGCTCAGCACTGGCCAGGCTGCCTATGTTTAATAGAGTTGTTTGTTTTCTTATTGTTGGGTTTTAAGAGCACCAGTCCTTTGCCACATCTGTGTTTTGCAAAGATTTTCCCCCAGATTGTGGCTTGTCTTCTCTTTCTCTCACCAGTGCTGTTCACGGAGCAGACATAAAAACTTTTGATACAGTCCAATTGATCGTTTTTTTTCTTCCTTCATGAACCATGCTTTTCATATTGTATTTAAAAACTCATCCCCAAGCCAAGGTAAGACAGAATTTCTCCTGTGTTTTCTTCTAGAGGTTTGACATTTTGTATTTAGGCCTATGAGGCACTTTAAGTTAATTTTTTGGTAAGAGGTCCCTGAAAGGATTTTCAAAAGTTCTTTATCTACTACCACCCAACACACATGCATTTTGAAGTTCACATCTACAATATTTCAACAGACATTTAAATAACCATGAAGGGTACAATTCCTGCTGTGTTATAGATTCCCACTTGAAATAAAAATTGTGATATCACTTTTAAACAAAAAAGATTTTATTTATTTATTTTTAGAGAATGGGAAAGGGAGAGAGAAAGACGGGGTGAGAAATGTTGATCTGAGAGAGAAACATCAATCAGTTGCCTCTCATGTGCCTGACTGACCGAATCCACAAGCCAGGCACGTGCCCTGACTGGGAATAGAACCATCGACCTTTTGCTTTGAGGGACGATGCCCAGCCAACTGAGCCACACTAGTCAGGGCATGATATCACTTTTTACACAAGGCCAGTGACATCAAAATCACCTGGTGAACTGATACCTGTGTCCATCTCAAATTCTGCACGCTGGCTCTTCTTTCTCAGGCTCCCGTTGGAACTGGGCCCTTTGATTCCTGCCTCCAGTTTTCATTCGCTGCCCCTCAGAGAGGTCTCCTCGTGCCATCTTTCTCCATGTCGGCAGTTTTTTTGTTATTCCTCCATCGTACTTCTCCAAAACACAAACGTGTATAAGTTACATTTCTTGTTATAACCTGTGACCATGGAGCTCTTATCATGTTTCTTCTGGCATAATCACCAAATAAACAAGGAAGATTGGCTCCAGTCTGTGTCGAATAGGACTTGCTGCCAGCGTGAGGTGGGCTTCGCCGTCAGTCCCATTCCTCTCTTCTGTTTTATGTGTGAGCTCAAGGAGACCCTGTGCACAGAGATGAGCAGTTGGGAGTGGGGCCCACGCTGCTGAGGGCTGGGGCCCCTGGAGCTCACTTGAGTGAACTAGGAGGGGCGATTGGGAAAGGGAAGGGGGCCAGGAACTGGGGGGGGGCTTCTCAAACTTACTGATTTTTGGACAGAGTACATGTGGGGGGTGAGATCCGGAAAGATGATTTTTAGAAACCTCGGCCTGCTCTGTGGACCCTCTTAAGGACTTTGTGTCATTGAAGGCTTCTTTAGTGCTGTGAAGATGGATTCAGCAGGTCACTCCCGGACCCTGTGACTCCATGGAGCCCCTGCAGCTCTGTCCTGTGTGCACATGCTCTTGTCAACAACCAGGAAACCCACCCTTCTATCCCCAGTGAGGCCTGGACCCCCCGGGAGGGGGCACTGGAATTGATGGGACCGAGTAAGAGGAATCTATGAATTGTTGGGGGGTTGAGTTTGGTCTCCCAGCACTTATTTTCTGAGCGCTTCCCCTGGGCCGGATCAGCAGAGACACTTCTGGGGAGTGCATATTCTGGTGAGGAAGATGCAGAAAGTGATTTTGCAGTGATAGGTGTTCTGAAGACAGGGCCGGGGGAGGGAGCAGGGCAGGTGTGTTTGAAGAGGTGACATTTGAACTGAGACCTGATGGAGTGAGGGAGCAAATCAAGCATATATCTGAGTGAACAGCATTCCAGGCAGAGAGGCAGCAAGTGCAAAGGCCCTGGAGTGGGTGCATGTTCGTATGTTTGAGAGTCATGTATGGTACACACCCCATGCATGGTGTGTTTGAAGGCCAGTTAGGGAGCCATTGTGGCTGGGATTGGCTGGAGCTGCTTCAGCAAGGGGGGGAAGTAGGTAGAGAGGCCAGACTAGTGATGGGAAAGGGGGGCCAACCGTACAGAGTCCTTTGGCCACTGTGAAGACTCATTCTTTGACTTGGAGTATCATGAAAAACCATGGGGGCGGGGGCTGGTTTATAGCCCAGGGGTGAGGTGATCTCTAAAGGGAATGTTCAGGCTGCTGGGTAGGGGTTAAGGCTGAGAGAAAGTCCAGGAAGGAGGCTGTAGCTTCTGATGGGGCTCAGGCCAGGGGGGCAGATGCAGCAGTGGCAGGGCTAGGCTAGGGAAGGAGGCTGTTTGAGATCAAACGACCTGGGTGGAGCAGAGACCCCAAGACTCACAGCCATGTCAACATGCGGGCAAAGAGACTTCGGGATGGAAGACACCAGTGGTGCAAAGGCCCTGGGGCCAGCCCAACCTGGCCACCAGGGGGCTGAAGCCGGTGGGAACCTGAGTGAATAACCGAGGAGGGAGGTGGCAGCTGCTGCGGGCAGATTGCCTTACAAGGCTCCCTGCAGCGTTGTGGCCACGCTCAGCCACCGCCAGCTCGGCCCCCAGCATTCGGCAGGAACGCGCTCGGAGGGGGCGGGGCCGACGGGCGCCGGCTGTGGGTTCTGCGCGGCTGTCACTGCATGAGTTGACGCTGCAGCTTCCAATTCAGGTCCGTACCGAGCACTCCTAGAGGCTCACCCGCGCTGGCAGGGGTGTTCAGGGTCCCTGGCTGTGGCCATTGTAGCCCCCCCGTGTCCCTGCGCACACCTGTCACGACTGGAGCACCCCTGGCCAGCACGCGCGCCGCCCACGCAGCTCTGGACGCTGAACGCACAAGCTGCGGAGTTTCTCCCGCCCCGCGGTTCCGAGGGCCCAGTGTGCCCGGGCGGCCGCGTGGGTGGCCGCGGCAGTGGCAGGCGGCTGTGTACTGGGGTCGCAGGTGCATCTCAGGCGGATTGGTGGCCTTTGCCTGTGGGCGCTGGGCAATGAGTGGCAAGTCTAGGCCTGGGGGAAAGGGAGGGCCCTTTGGGCGATGTGGGTGGGGGTGGGCTCGGAGGGGCCAGGGTGGGGGTGCATGGAGCCTTCTGGAAGACGGCTGATTGCGCTGCAGGTTGTGTGGCCGCAGAGAGCAGGTGGCTGGGTGCTGAAGGTTGATCGCCCTTAGGGTGGGGGGTTTCCGGATCGCCGCGCCGTATCTGGGGAGGGGGTGGAAGGGGTGTATTTGGTGGCCTAGCAGGGAGGCGTCCCACCTGAGAGTGCTGACCTGGGCGGTGGGGGAGGGGCGAGAGGTACCCGGGCTGGGGGAGGGTTCTGGGACCTTATGAGACATGTGTTCCTGAGTGGGGTTGCCTCTGAGGGAGGCTGAAGCACTGCTGTGACTGGGGTGGGGGTAGGGACTGCCCCTCACCCAGAGCACCTCCCTCCACCTCTCCCTTGCCCCCCAGACATGCTGCTGCTCAAGAAACAGACGGAGGACATTAGCAGCGTCTATGAGATCCGGGAGAAGCTGGGCTCGTGAGTGTGTGTCAGTGAATGTGATGTGTGTCCGTGAATGTGTAAGTGTGGGGGGGGATGGGTGGCATGGGATGGAGAGGGCCTCCTCTTCTGCTTCAGCTTGGGGGGCCCTTCCCTCTCCCCACCTCTGCTCTCTCTCCCCTCCCTCTCCTCTCTTCCTCCTCTTCAACTTCCCCCTCCCCTCCTGCCTCCCCGCTGTCTCTATGGCAGGGGTGCTTTCTCTGAGGTGGTGTTGGCCCAGGAGCGGGGCTCCTCACACCTTGTTGCTCTCAAGTGCATCTCCAAGAAGGCCCTTCAAGGCAAGGAGGCCCTGGTGGAGAATGAGATTGCGGTGCTCCGCAGGTGCGTGCCTGGCCCCTGGCCAGGCTGCTATTGCTTAAGGCTTGTGGGCAGTGTGTCCCGCCTCAGAGTGCCCTGCTTCGCACCCAGTGCCCAGGCCTGGGATGGGGTTCTGCCTTGCTGGATTGGGCAGAGGTGGAAGGAAGCACTCTTAGGCCCTGAGGCCTAGAAAGGGGCCGCATGGACTACAAGGACTTTTTCTTGCCGTTACAGGGTCAGCCACCCCAACATCGTGGCTCTGGAGGACGTCCACGAGAGCCCCTCCCACCTCTACCTTGCCATGGAGCTGTGAGGAGGGTTAGGGACAGGCCGGGGGCTGGGTGGTGAGTGGGGGCCAAGGGGCCTGGGTCAACTAAGCCCCCTCTCCTCACAGGGTGACAGGAGGTGAGCTGTTCGACCGCATCATGGAGCGTGGCTCCTACACAGAGAAGGATGCCAGCCACTTGGTGGGCCAGGTTCTTGGTGCTGTCTCCTACCTGCACAGCTTGGGCATTGTGCACCGTGACCTCAAGGTGCCTGTCCTCTTGCCTGCCCACCCAGGCCGTACCTAGTCTCCCTGTGCACCAAGGGTCTGGGGGACTTGAGGAGGCTCAGCCCCTTGTCCCAGCCCCCAGCGTTCATGCCAGGGCTGACTTGGCACTTCCTCTGGTCACCTGTGTGCCACAGCCTGAAAACCTCCTCTATGCCACACCATTTGAGGACTCTAAGATCATGGTGTCTGACTTCGGCCTCTCCAAAATCCAGGCTGGCAACATGCTGGGCACCGCCTGTGGTACCCCAGGATATGTGGGTAAGTGAGGGGGCGCCCTGAGGTTCCTTGGGGGCTGGAGGCCTGGGTGACCCTGCAGGAGCTGTGATGCCAGGGGCAGGGCAGGTGGTGGGCTATTCCTGGGGTTGACTAGGCTGAGCCAGGGAGCACTGAAGGCTGGTATGCACGTGCGTGGTGTGCGTCTGTCTGTCTGTCTCTGGCCCCCAGCCCCGGAGCTCTTGGAACAGAAACCCTATGGAAAGGCCGTAGATGTGTGGGCCCTGGGTGTCATCTCCTACATTCTGTGAGTGACCGCTGCGAAAGGCTCTTCTTCTGCCTGCCTGCCCCCTGCTGGGTTGGGGAGGGTTGGACAGCTGGGTGATTCATCTGTGGGTGCCAGGCTGTGTGGGTACCCCCCCTTCTACGACGAGAGCGACCCCGAACTCTTCAGCCAGATCCTGAGGGCCAGCTACGAGTTTGACTCTCCCTTTTGGGATGACATCTCAGAATCAGGTGAACTTGAGGCTGACCCCAAGCTCAGGGAAGGGAGGGGGGAGTGATAAGTGGAGTGCGATGGGTTGGGCTGACCTGGCCTCCCTGCTCCAGCCAAAGACTTCATCCGGCACCTTCTGGAGCGAGACCCCCAGAAGAGGTTCACCTGCCAGCAGGCCTTACAGCATCTTTGGTGAGTGGAGCCCCTGCCAAGCTGTCTCAGGACCAGAGTGAAGGACCACACCCTCAGAGACTGTCCACTGCCCAGCTGACCCTTGGCCTCCTTCTAGGATCTCCGGGGATGCCGCCTTTGACAAGGACATCCTGGGCTCAGTCAGTGAACAGATCCAGAAGAATTTTGCTCGAACCCACTGGAAGGTCAGGATTGGGTGGGGGGGGCCCGTGGACATTTTTTGGCTGGAGACTGCCTCCCTTCCCTGTCTGCTCCATCCCTCAGCCTCAGGGAGATGGCCTAGGCTGCCAGTGACCTCTGGGATCCTTGAAGCCTTGGGGCCAGGGCGGGGGCATGGCCTGATATCCTCCTCTCCCTGCAGCGGGCATTCAATGCCACCTCTTTCCTGCGCCACATCCGAAAGCTGGGGCACAGCCCAGAAGGTGAGGAGGCCTCAGAGCGGAAGATGGCCCGCCACAGCCACCCAGGCCTCCGGGCCGGCCAGTCCCCCAACTGGTGACGCCCAGGTGTGTGGGGGTGGGCCCTGCACCCCCTGGGAGGTGCTTCCTTGGTGAACTTACAGTGTTGAGCCCCATGTGGCCAAGAGCTAAGTGGAGTGGACTCCAGAGAGCAGAGGGCTGTGGGCGGGGAGCACAGTTGGAAGGCAGGATCTGGGGTTCTGGGAGGAGTGGACGAGAGAGGGGCCGGCAGGGGCTGATGACTACAAGACTGTGAGGATCCGAGAGGGCCCAATGTGAAGACCGAGTGGGCACCGCTGCCGAGAGCCTTGACTGGGAGCATGGGCACAGGGCAGGCCAGGGGTGCCTCCGGACTGTTCCCCTTCCCTGTGAGCTTCTCTCTCCCCCTCCACCCCTGGCAGATGCCGAGGCTGAATGCACTGACCCCCAGATTCTCTTCCCACGGACTCGTTCACTCCTCTTCCCCATCCCCTGAACCCCGGGGCTGGCCTCTGCTGGAGAGTTTGAGACATGTCAGTGTGGCGCATGACACTGGGGTGAGAGTGGGGCACCCCCAGGCTCTGCCCTCACCTTAGGGGCTGGTGGAGCATGTCCACAGGGCTCCCCTCCCCTGTCACCGCCATAACCCCTTTGAAACCTGGAGAGGCTCCAGGGAAAGTCCTTCCTGCACGCTGTTCTGCGCTTCGCTGACTGTGGGTGGTTCCGCTTGTGTCGTAGCCCTCCAGCTCCCCTCCACTTTTCCCCAAATCAATAAAGACAGACAGAGCAATGGGCCAGTGGTGAGCTGGAGGAAGGGGTAAGGGACAGGGTTGGAGGGTGACTGTGGGGTCCACTGTGGGAAAGGAACCAAGGAGGCAGGGCCGCTGCCTGTGGGACCACACCCGTGATCCGGCCCACTGCCACCCAGACTTGTGCTTCCTTGGATCACAACAGACAAACTCCTGGTTGTCCAAGAACGTCTTGTCCTCACCCCACATCCAAAGTGCCAGCAGAAGGCAGTCACATGGTCAGCTCTGCCACCCTAGAGGTGACCTGCTTGTAGCCCTGGCTCCCTGCTGGGTTGTTAGCAGAGGTGGGTGGTGGGAGGCCTGTCTCCAGGACCCCGGGGACGGGCTGCAGTGGCCCTGCTGTTCAGGGCCAGGCCGGGAAGGGCTCACAGGTGAGCAGAAGCCTGTAGCCTGGAGAGCAACCAGAGTCCCCCAGCTTGCCGTCTCCAACCTCTCCTCACTCCCTACTCCCCTTACCTGGGCTCAGGCCAGAAAAAGCATTTCCAGCACAGTGTCAGAGCCCTTTGGCCAGGAGAGGGCGCCACTGGCTTCAAATCCTGTGCTGTGCCGCAGTTTGGAACCCATGGGCTCCAGGCCTGGAGGAACAGGCTGGGTTGGTTATGACTTCTTGTGTGAAGAGTGGTGGCTGGTCCTCTGGTCGGCATGGCCCCTGCCTCTCGTACCCAAATGCTCGCACCCAAGCCTCTTCTGGCCCTATTAAGCCTTTCTCCCGTGCGCATCAGTGGAAGACCCCTAGGACCGCTCCTCGGCCTCAGCCAGAGCAGAGGAAGCACCCTTCAGAGTTTTGGGTGAGCTGGCCACTCCTTCCTCCCCACTGCAACCCTGCCTCTGCTGCCCTCTGCCAGCCCCCCTCATGGAGTGTGATGGAGAAGAACCTTCTTGTTAACCTTTGGGACCTGAACCGGGCAGTGAGACAAAGCTCTGCTGGCCTGGGTCTCCCGGGTGGGGACTGGATCAGGGTTTGGGGTTGGAAACAGAGGGTGTGCTTTGCACTGAGGAGAGCAGCCTTTGCACCACGCACCTCTGCTGAGCTGGGGATGGGCACAGCCCAGGGTGGGCATGCCTGCCCGCTGGGTCCCAGGCCTACCAGACCCTCTGGGCTCCTCTTCTCCCAGCATCTTCCCACCACCTTCCTGCTCCGCACTGCCCCATGCACACCTCCCCACAGGTCCCTGAGCCTGGGAGAGTCTGGAGATGGGTGGGCAGCTTTCTTATCTGTCCCCATGGCCACTCTGTATCATCCTTCACTCCAGGCTTTGGGGTCACACAAGCCAGGGGACCTCAGGCAGCTGGCACCACGGCCAGATCTCAACAACTTGGCCTTCTCACCCCCAGTGACCTGTTTTGCCTCTCCTTAGCTCCCCACTTGGGACCTTATCAGCTCTCCTGCTACCTCAGACGGCTTCGCCAGTGTCCCTTTGCTGGCTCTCCTTCCCCTCCCTTTCCAGTTGTTCACATTAGACCCCGCGACACCGACTCATTCTTGTTTTGTCTGTCAAATATTGTTCAGGCCTCTGCTCTGTGCCAGGTGCTGAGCCTACCAGACAAGGTGCCTGCCCTCATGGAGGAGGCCCTACGGTGCAGGGATGGGCTTACTCGGATGATAGGGATGAGCTGCGTGGGGAAAGCAGCATGCTGGCTGCTCAGGAGCAGCGATATCCAAGCCAGCCTTCCAGAAGGAATCGCAGTCAATCGGAGAGGGCCAGCTCTTCCAGCCCAGGCGGGCTGCCAGATCACTGCTGCAGAGTTGGGGTTGCAGCTCCCGCTGCCCCGACACAGAGTGCAGTTTGGCCTCCGGCCAGAAGGCGGCACCATGGTCACATTCATCAGCCATCCTTGTTCCTTCAGCACCTGGGGCAGCATCTACTGTCCCCCAAGATCCTGCCCCAGGAAAATCCTCACTTGGGAGAGAGGTCCTGCCCTGCCCAGCTGGGTGAGGCAGAGAGTAGGACCTTTCCTTCATCCCTCCAAGCCCTTCCTATCCAAGGGGCCTGTTTGTGAGAAGAAAGCTTTGGGCCAGCTAGGTTGTCGGATGAGGGCTGGGAGAGAGAAAGGACTGGTTCAGCCAAAGGCAAGAGATGGGGGGGGGGCAGCGTGTGATGGGGAGCTGGGGGGGCCAGTGTGGGAGCATTTCACGCTCAGGGAACGACAGGTGCTCAGTGCTGAAGCTGGAGGGATCAGAACCTGGCAGGGCCAGAGTCAGGCTTTAGTCTGAGCAATGGTGAGCCAGCCGCTAGAGTGCTCTTATCCAGTCTGTGGTAGGTGCTGAGCTGTTGTAGAAAACTCAGTGCTGTGAGTCAGGAGCAAGGTCCAGTAGGCGGGCGTTGGGTGTTGGGGACCAGACCAGAATTGGGAGGGAAGCCTTGTGGGTGTCCCAAGAGGAAGCTGTCACCCTCATTCTGGACTACACAGGGTTGGTCACACACTCTGTCTTGGAGCAAACCTGTGGGTGGTAGGTGTTCTGGGGAAGCTCAACTCAGGGCCACAGTGGGGTGGAGAATGAAGGAGAGGGGCGTGGGGTGGACTCTGCATTTCTGGGTGGATTGTGCCACCATTCACCAAGAGGGGTTCGCCTGGGTGGGTCTGTGGGGAGACAATGGGATTCGTTTTGGACATGGCCTGAAGGGGGTGTAGAGCAGAAGAGGCTTGTTTCTCACCTTTCTCTCTGCAAATCTGCATTTGGCTCTGCAGCTGACCCCAAGCCTTAGCTCAGCGGGAGCTCTTCTTGAGGACTCACTGTGTGCCAGACTCTGTTCTGGAGAGCTTTGCCAGTAGTCTCTCAGAGCTCAGCTGAGAAGTAGCCATTCTTGTTATCATTGGTCCCATTCTACAGCTGGGGAAACTGAGATGTGGAGAGGCCAAGTAACTGAGCCAAGGCCACGTAGCCTTGTGCTCTATGGTGCTGCCTGCCTCCATTCACGTGAGGGTTGTATAGGGACTTGAGAAAATGACTGGGGAGTTCTTCAGCCTTCTCCCTGGGAGGGAACTCAGTGTGAGGGACAAAAGAGAGAACACTAGGCTGGAAGAACTGCCCTCGATTTGAGTTTGAGCCTTGCAGGTGGTTTTGTCACCTTCAAAGTCTTCTGTGCCTCAGTGTCATTTATTTAAATTCCCTGTGAGATGAGAACTGGGGAGGTCGTTCCACAGTGGTAGAGGCAGGGCGTGGCATCTGGGCCCTAGAAAGAACCCCTCCAGACTTCAGTGTGAGGGATGGGTGGCTGGAAGTGGGGCAGGGCTGGTGGCAGGTGTACATGTGCATGGGTCCTGTAAAGGGCAAGGCAAGACATAAATAGAGCCTGTGCCAGGGTGGCTGAAGTGGGACTGGAAAGATGGAGATGGGTCACGGTGGAATGGATGGGAGAAGAGGGTGAAAGAGAACTGAGGATGCCGCCCACCCCCAACGCCCCAGAACTCAGGAGTTCTAGAAGCAGGCTTGTTCAGGACATGAAGGGGCCAAGCCAGACCCCTCTCGACTCTAAGCCGAGTATCTTCCTGCCAGCCAGTCGGTGGGCACGTGACAGCCATGTTCTCTGTCCAGCCCCAGCTTTGTGCAGGCACTGCTGACTCCATTCCTGGCTTCTAAGATAGAACGTTTGGAAAATAACAAGCCACCTGGTTTGGTTGATTGAGGTCTGCTGTGAGACGTCACTGGAGATCAGCCTGGAAGTGAATTTTCTCAAGAGGGCACAGGGTCAGATGTTTGCGTCAGGAGTTTTTCTGTATTTCCCAGCCCTATCTGTCCCCTCTTGATAAATATGAAAACCTCATCTCCAGGCCCTCTCCCCAGGTCCCGTGGACAGTTGAGTGGCTCCCCTCATGCCAGAGGAGGCCTCATTGCCCCTCTCAGTTTATCCTTATAGTTCTTTCAACTATTGCTTTTGTATTGTTTTAAAGATTTTAAAAAGTTATCGATTTTTTTGAAGATAGAAAGGGAGCCCCGGCTGGTGTGGCTCAGTGGACTGAGCACTGGCCTGCGAACCAAAGGGTTGCCAGTTAGTTTCCCAGTCAGTGCACATGCCTGGGCTGTGGGGCAGGTCCCCAGTAGGGGGCGCCCGAGATACAACCACACACTGATGTTTCCCTCTATCCTTTGTCCTCTGTCTAATAAATAAATAAATAAAACCTTTTTTAAAAGAGAGGAAGGGAGATAGATAGATAGATAGATAGATAGATAGAGAGAGAGAGAGAGAGAGAGAGAGAGAGATTTGTTGTTCTACTTATTTATGTACTCATTGGTTGATTCTTGTATGTGCTGTCACCAGGGGATGGAACCTGCAATCCTGGCGTAGCAAACGCTGCTCTAACCCACTGAGCTACCTGGCCATCACACTATACGTATTTTCAAGTGACATTACTAAGTGCAGATGAGCTTAGAATTGATATACTTGATCAAAATGTGGTGAGAAACTGTACCTGAACAATTAAAATTAAAAAAGAAATAAAAATAAATAAATAAAATAAAATAACAAAACAAAAACACAAAGCGTAGTGACATGCATTAGCAGTGGTAATGCTTTTGCCTTATTGTGTTACTTTGTTTAACAGTAACAGGGCAACTATAACTTTCTTTTGGTTGATACTAGCCAGCTATATCTTGTTCCATACTTTTCCTTTCAAACTTGAAACTTTGTTTTAATTGAGATACAATTCACATACCATAAAATTGCCCCTTTAAAGTCTATAATTTATTGTTTTTTAGCATATTTACAAAGTGTTGCAATCATCACCCCAGTCTAATCACAGAATATTTTCATCACCCCCAAAGAAATCCCTGTACCCATTTAGTGGTCATGCCACAATTTCCCCACCACACCTCACCCCCAGCCTCTGACAATCACTAATCTACTTTTTGTCTCTGTGGGTCTGCCTATTTGGTATTGCACATAAACAGAATCATACAATATGTGGCCTCTTGTGTCTGGTTTCTTATGCTTTG